GAATAGTCCTCGACAGGACCCGCCACAAGACGGCACACAATCGGCCCAAAGAATGCATCGTCCGCATACAGCTCCCGTAAGACATCGAACCCGATAACAGAAACCCACATGTCCGTAAGCAACCTCGCGCGCCGGCTCAACGCATCCGCCACTCGATTCGAAACACCGGACCGGTGATGAAGCACGAAATTGAACTGCTGTAAAAAGACCGTCCATGAAGCATGTCGAGCTGAGATATTATTCTGGGAAGCAAGATGGCGCAAAGCCTCGTGATCAGTGTACATAATGAACTCACGATGAAAGAGGTAATGATGCCAATACCAGACCGCGCGAACAACTGCATAAAATTCGACGTCATAAGTACTGTATCGGGACCTCGGGCCCAACAGTTTCTCGCTAAAGAAGGAGACCGGCCTCCTATCCTGACTCAGAACAACACTAATCCCCACCTTCGAGGCGTCGCACGACAGCTCAAACGGCCTCGAGAAATCAGGTAAAACGAGCACGGGAGCAGATGTCAACTTCTCCTTAATCAAAGCAAAAGCATACTCAGCCTCTGGTGTCCACGCAAAAGACGAGCCATGGAGGCAATCGGTGATAGGAGCGGTAATAGTACTGAAGTGAGCAATAAAGCGACGATAGAATGAAGCAAGCCCGTGGAAACTATGGGCTTCAGTGAAAGTAGTAGGAGTCGGCCAGTCCCGAATAGCAGCCACCTTGCCATCATCCACCCTAATACCATCCGCCGAAATCATGAATCCCAAAAATAAAACCGAAGGCACCAAAAAGCAACACTTACGTGGGGCAGCAAAAAAAGCCTCAGCTCGCAGAACAAGTAGGACTGACCGGACATGCTTCAGATGCTCCTCCACCGAACGGCTGTAGATAAGAATGTCGTCGAAATAAACGACGACACACGTGCCAATGAACTCCTGAAGTGCTTGGTTCATGACTCTCATGAAAGTGCTAGGCGCGTTCGACAAACCGAATGGCATCACCAACCACTTGAATAACCCCTCACGGATCTTAAAGGTCATTTTCCACTCGTCCCCAGGCCGAATCTGAATTTGATGATAACCGCTACGCAGATCAAGTTTCGTAAAAACTGATACCCCATGAAGCTGATCGAGTAAGTCATACAACCGCGGTATTGGAAAACGGTAACGGACGGTGATCTTGTTAATAGCCCGACTGTCGACACACATGCGCCACGTGTTGTCCTTCTTTGGGATGAGAAGGGCTGGGACGGCACAAGGACTCATGCTCTTACGAACCACGCCCCGCTGGAGAAGTTCCTCAACCTGTCTCTGGAGTTCCTCGTGCTCTGTTGGGCTCATACGATAATGAGGCCTATTTGGAAGAGATGCGCCCGGCACTAAGTCAATGTGGTGCTGAATGTCACGAAGTGGTGGTAAGCCGGAAGGAACCTCGTCCGGAAACACATCCGCGAACTCCGACAACAATGGTTGAATAACCACAGGCGGTGAACCTTCGTCCCTCGAGTCTCGACCCACAACCAATAGGACCACTGGAGAATCACGCAACTCGGCCAAGAATACCGATCGAGACATCGAGAGAACAGAGGAAGGGTGGCTCGGTATCGCGACGGGCCGAGGCGGTGAAGGTTGTAAAGTGATCCGAACCCCATCAAACAGAAACGAATAAGTATTGAGACAACCATCATGAGTGGCGGCGCGATCAAATTGCCACGGTCTACCCAGCAGTAATGGCATGCATCCATCGGAACTACGTCACACCAAATCTGATCACGATACCTCGGGCCTACAGAAAAGGTGACTAACACACGACGGTCAACAGTAAGTGCGTTCCCATGTTGAATCCATGCGAGTGTATATGGCTGGGGATGAGGAATAGTGGCAAGCTGTAGTTTGTCGACAGCCTCCTGAGCAATAACGTTTTCACAGGACCCGGAGTCAATAATAAAGTGACAAACTTTGTCCCCAACCATGCAAGTGGACTCAAACAGATGATGACGTTCGATCGGAGAATCACTCGAACCCCGCAGCGCCAAACAAACCCGTCGCAGAACTAAGGTCGTGCCCTCATCTCCAGGAACCAGTTCTTCCACCTCATCGTGCTCAAGATCATAAACCGATGGCCCATCGTAGTCTCCACTGAAAACATCACCCGTCTCCTCCGTAAACAAGGCCCGAGAACTCGTACCTTTCGGATAAACCGATTGGCAATGGCCAATCTCACCGCACCCAAAACACCGCAGCCCCGCCACGGTCCGCGACGCATTTGTAGACGGCGGCTGTCCACCCAAATCGCCGAACCGCTGGTCGCCCCCAACAGATGTCGTAGTCCGTCCGGACGTTGTCCTCTGGCCAGACCCGCTAACTGCCGCTGCCCCGGGGCGGGTGAACGACGACCCTGTGTTCGACGTCGCTCCTGGTCGAGAGGACGATGTCCCAAATTGTTACGCTTTCTGCGCCAGTTGAAGCTCAACGAGAAGGGCCCGTTGGTGAGCATCAAAAATGGAATCCGGTTGAAATATATTTAACATATCACGGATCCCCGCACGTAATCCGCCAACGTACCGAGAAACTAGCTGATTCTTTGTCTCACAAAGGTTGACACGAGTCAAAAGCCGATGAAACTTAGTCGTATATTCAGTCACCGAACGAGTCCCTTGACGTAAATTTTGCAGCTGCTGATAAACAATGTTATCGTAATTGAAGGGTACAAATTCACGCTCTACAACTTCGTGAAATTTGGTCAAACAAGTGGCGGTTTTCCTTGACGATGTCGCAAGCTAGTAACATTCATCCACCAAACTGCCGCACGACCCCGAAAACGTGTGGCGACTAAAGCGACCAGTCTCTCCTCCGGGAACTCCTTAAAAGAGAGGGTTGTCTCAACCGAGGCCCACGAATCGATAAATTCTGAACCATCCACACCCCCATCAAACTCGGGAATCTCCACCCGAAACCCTTGCTCCCAACGCGACTCATCGCCACCTTCTATCGGG